AAAGACTTGCCAGATTCAAGGCTGCAATGTAAACATAAAAGGTTGAATCATTTTGGAAGAAAATGTTCTGAATCAAGAAAATAGCCTGGACTCAGTTTAGTACAATAAACTGCGATTAAGTCTCAGCAGTCAAATGACAAAAGCATTGCCATCTCGCCTGTAACGATGATTAGACAAACGATCGGTTGATTGCTGGAAACCTCTTTGGTTTATAAAAATTAAAAACACTTTTTGTGCTACTCTCTTATATCTTCGCTCAACAATGAAAAATCATCGTTGAGTGTCCAATACCTTAACGCGCAAGGCAGATGAAGAGGAACATCCAGTTCTCCATCGTGTGACATCAGGTCAAAAGATGTAGATCATAAAAATACAGACCTAGAGCTTGTTGATCAGGTAAGTTCATTAAACATCAGTGACGTCTTCGTTGTCCAACTTTAAAGACAGTTGAACATCTTCTATGCGCGCATAGAAGATGTCTTTGTCGCCGCTCCAATTACTTACTCCAATTATCCTGCTGGTCTACTCCACAAAATGTCTTTTCATATCATCCGTAAAAATTGAACAAAGCTTCATTGTACTATAATATGATATACAAAATCTGGACCCAGGCACTTATGCTTCTCCAGTGCATTCGTGCGTAAAAGTGAAATGCTCTCCAAAGGTGATACGCGTTCAGAGTAATCAGCAAACATCAACCAAAACAGATGTAAAACTGATGTGTAAGGGTTTAATGTCCGTTTTGCTGCATCATTACAACCAAACCAGCGGTTTCCAGCCACCCCGTTGCGCTGACACCATGGTTCCAAGAGGCAGGCATTGCATTATTGATTACCCTATAAATCAACATCTGTCACTTTGGTCAAATGCAGTTAAACATCCAGGCGACACATATTAGTTAAAGGATGTAATTTCATAAAGTGACATGATCTTACCTTTTCTTTTGGAGAAACGGATTGGAAATAGATAAATAGGATTAGAAGATTTTAAAAAAAAGTGTCAAAGCTGTCAAATAATCTTTTTTGTTTCTTGGTAAAATGTTAAAGGTGCCAAAAGGAAATCCTCTTGGACGCGCAAACACAATTCTCCTATGTTGTTTTTTAAGTCACCAATGCTCGTCAGAGAGAGAGGGGGAGTGTGTTTGAGAGGGAGAGGGAGGGAGAGAGACAGGGAGAGAGAGAGAGAGGGTGGAGGTGGGTGGAGATGAATGGGAGTGGTGGGTTTATTGGGTGCTGTCACGGTATAGATGGTGGATGAATGTCTTCCAGGAGCGGGACGAAAATAGCACCTAATAGAGAACGGCGTGACGCACAAGCTCTCCTGAAAAAAGATTTCCTATATTATAAGATCATATTGGAGATGGACAGAACCTTTACTTTTCCAGGCCTGATTTATGATGATGGTTACGCACAGGGTATCCGCGCTTTGCTCCGCGTTTAAAGCATCGCGTTTATTCTCCAAACGCTGGCTGCACGATGGTAATGGTGAGGATGGAGAGGCCTGCGTGTGATTACTTCTTTATTTTATTACCCGGCTTGAGCATGAGAATCTGACGCTTTTACATCAATCCACTCCCAAGTTGTTAAAACATGAAAATTGCAAGACCTAGTTGAATTCATAGATTTACGTCATAAGGAAGGATCTATGGTGACTCAAAGGATGCATGGGCACTTTTAGTATTTTCACCTTATGAGACATAATATTTGGGCACTTTATCTAGATGCTATGTATAGTTTGTAAGGGATGTTACCACTTGTTGTCTCTCCACAAAACTAAAGGAGCAACAATCCCTTCATCTACACCATCAAACCACGTGTTGCTTTAAATACTGAATTATGGGCGTTAACTTCAGTCTGCTGTCCATGGTGCTGAAATGAAAATTTCACATTCCACAAATGAGAAAACTCACTCCCTATAATAAATGAGTCTGTAGTCTATGTACTCAATGGAGAGTTTAGTTTTTGGCATCAAGACAATTTGGCATACATCTTGTTGCCATTTATGTCTAATTTGAAATTATAAATATACGTCACTCACTTTTTTAGAGCAGCTTCATAAAATAACTAGTTCCAGTAGGAAATCTTATTACACATATGGACATAAACAAAGGTGTCATCTAGTGTGACTGCTGGAAATAAGAAAAATGATTTGCTGTTATTGTGACGCGTCCTCTAATTTAGTGTCTGTGTGGCTGACAGGCTGTGAGACATAGGACACCTCTAATTGGATGCTTTTCTAACAAATAAGCCATGGAGACGCGTCCACTGTGTTACAGGTAGACAGTCTGGAAAAGCTGTATAGATGAGACACAAATAAATTTCACATTCATGGCTTAAAGATTAAGACTGTGTTATTGCTAACATATACCAACAGCTATATCTAATCACAGGAGGTAGTCTGAATGAATAACTTCCCAGAAGACCTCTGTCGACATCTAGTGGCCTTTAGAAGCTGTACTCAAAGCTGTCAGTAGCTTCCTTTAAATCAAAGCTAAGTATTTCATTCCCTGATTTTACCTAATTCTAGTCTTTATTAT